TTAAAATTAATTTGTAAATATAATGTAAAGAATTATAAATAATAAAGATCAAATGAAATTATATTGATAAAAGTTAAATATTGTTATCAGTAGTATGATTGTGATCATTAGTATCATTAGTATGATTTGCTATATAATAATTATCTAAATAATTATTATAAAGCAAATATATTTCTTCAATAATTTAATTGATTAATGTAACTTCATACTTATATTCTATAACTTTTTTACATCATAATAAGTTTTATTTACCTATATCATTAAAAAAAAACTTTTTGCATAACGTTGTAATTAACACCGATTATGTTCTTATCAAACATTTATTTATTTATGCAGTTTTAATTGAATTCAATTCGTGCTGTTTTATTATGAATATATGAGTTATCTAAAAATTTTCAATCTTCGCAAGCTTGGAAAAAAAACAACTTTCATTTCACTTCACTTAATAATTATAAAAACGTAGTGTTCAATTTTTAAAAAATCGAATTAATTAGTTTGCTTAAATGTTATGCAAGCATAGGAAGCATACTTTTTTTTATCTTTTAAAATTCTTCGCGTTTCAATAAGAAAATGAAACATTTATCATTTAAAAAAAATGTGCTCTTCCTTTCATTTTTATTCGTAAACGTTGCTAAACGTCTGCAAAATTTAATTAGTGGTTTTATTAATGTATGAATTTTTCTCGCTTCATTTTAAAACGATTAATTAATTATATAACTCTTTCAAATTTTGATTTTCGAAATGGCATCAAATATAAAATTGTTACTTAATTATTATGTTTTAAGCAAAATTTACTTATTTTTAACCTTGAATGCTTGTACTGTATTAAAAATTAAAGGTCAGAGTCAAATGTGATAAAATATTGACCAAGATTTTTTTTTAATATTTTTACTACTTGCAAATTTTAAACAGAATAATTATTTAGAGTTGGTGAACTTGCAGATTCGTTCATTATAAAATGCTATCTTTTGAAAAAATCTGTATGTATGTGGAAGCATTCTTCAGTTATTTATTTTATATTTTTATAGTATTTTACCATTTTTATTTTATTTTTAAATGATTTTCTTTCAAAAACGGATGAAATAAATAGATATTCTTCCAGTTTAGATGATATTCGCTCATTTCTGAATTTTTGATGTCATGTAAATATTTTGCATTGGAATGGAGAAAATTATTTTATGAAAAGAAATTATGCAAAATAATGCTCGTGCACGGTAATATTAAAAGTTTGAGCTCGTTTCATTCTACTAGTACACTAAGAAAGTAAACAATGAGGTATTAATGTTTTAAGATGCAACATGACGATATTACTTTTCTTTTAAAAAAATCTTTTTATTTTGACCATATTTTAGGGAATATTATGCGTATTTAGTAGAAAATAAATATAAAAATAATTCATAGAAAATAAATATAAATAATTAATTCCTCCTTTTTTTTAAAAAAAAAATATGATACATTTATTTAAAGTTTCTTAAAAAATAAATTTTATTTCTCAAAAGCATAAATTTTTATACTTAAACACTTGTTTCTGCTAATCGCTGTGCAATTTGATGGGCTGGTCATCACAAAAACTTGTTATATTTTTACAAAAAAAATTATAGTTATTTGCTCTTTATATATAGTAAATATTCATCAATCAAGATAATAGACAAAATATCATAAAATATGTATTTTTTTATTTTGCTATTCCAAAAAGTGTCCATATTTTCTCGCGATATTTATTATGCCAATTTGATCAATTTTATCATACATATTTTTTTTTTTAATATAGGGACTCCCTCACCCAAGTGACTGAACAATCGTTGAAAGCTGTTTCGCTGTAAAAAAAAAAAAGGTAAATTATTTTCTATTCTGAGGTTTTTATTTATTTGTTAAATTTAATTAAAAAAAAACGCTTCAAAGAATGTATCTAACTGGATTTCGTTAATTCTTAATGAATGATGACTTAACTTAGTGCGAATTCATTAAGCATTCCGTCATAAAATGGTTCGTCAGATTTGTTTAGAACTAAATGTGAAATAAATGTAGCGAAGTATAAATTGTGGTATTATATATATATATATATATATATATATATATATTCCATTAAATTTAAAATAACGCTTAAAAGTTTTTAAAATTATAAATGTTAAATGTAAGACTTCCACTAGAAACGCATATGATATCCAGTGTTACGATACTGTGGATTGGTCGCAGAGCCGATGACAATGTTATTCTCAATTAGTGACCCTCAAGAAGCCTTGAATTAACTGTCTGCTATTTTTTCCCTTTGGGGCTACTTGAAAGATAACATGTTTTTTCCCCGCCGCTACAACCGACCACTGATAAATTGAAAGGGCGCTAATAACTGTAGCTATTCAAAGTGTAACAAGGAACATGCTATAAAATGTTGAGTGGGCTCTATTAACTACTGGATATCTTTCTTATTTCTGGTGATGATCTCATTGAATATCTATAATTTTACAAACTTTAAAGTGTTACTGTCAATTGAATTTGTCCAAAAAAGTTATAACTTCTTCAGTTTTTAAACAGTCACTCTTCAAAGTTGGAATATTCTTTCGTAAACACCCTGTATAATTATGCGGTGTATAAATTGCGATTTTTTTTTTTTTTTTTGTCTTCATTAAAATTTCTGTAGGCTCTATTGAAATTAACACCCTGATTAATTAGTTTTTTGCCATTCTTTTGATTTGATTTATATTCTTTTGATTCGATTTATAGAATATTTATAATACTCGTATATTTAATATGATTTGACTGTTTTTACAAGAGCATAAAGTTACATAATGTTCAGTATCTCGTTATTTACATGTTATATTATAATGCAAGTTTTTAAAAGGAGGTTTTGGGAAAGTGGAATATATAATAGGGGTATGAAAATTGAGTTCATTGTAATAGCTGTTGTTTATTCTGTCATTTGGAATCTGATAAGTTTAATAGTTCTTTTTCAAATATTTCATCTGCTTTGTTTGGAACCTGGTTGAATGAGAAAGCTTCTTCGCGCACAGGTTTTTTTTATTTTATTTTACTCAGCAGCTATTATACTAATTTTATCGCTAGACATGTTTTTACGGAATCTAATCCCTAGATATGTTTTATTTAAGATTTTGTTGCAATAATTTTCTGTAAAATCGGAGCGTACAAAGAGTTTTCTCACAGAAAGAAATTTCTCTGAAAAAATTTCAGAGAATGCAATGAAACTCATATTAGAGTTAAAATTTTATTTGTATATTTTTAATAGAAAAAATAATAAAATTGTGTAATAAATGTCTATTAAATTTTTAAATAAGTCGTAGAATTCTATTTATGTCTTATACAAACATCCTTCTAACTTGGCTTTCATATTCACGTGTTTAAGGGAGTAAATTTGCTGATATTACTAGTCTTTTTTGATATAGTCGTAAAGTGAAATTTTTATTGTTAAATTTAAATAAATGCACTCGTAATACTACTTCTAAATATAAGAATTGTTAAGTAAATAAAACAAATATTTTTACTAATTATAAGTAACATCGAAAAATTGGACTCAAGGCATTAATAAAAAAAAAATTTCTCTTTACATAGTAAATCAAATAAGTAAAAAAGATCTTGAATAAGGGGGGAAAGTGAATTAAATTAAAACTAAATACTTCTTTATCGAACAATATTTTGAAACATATTTTACTCTAATTTTAATTACTTTTTCCCCAATTAAAATACTAATAATGTACGCATATAAATTTTTATAATTTTCATTTCTAACAAATAAGTCTAGTAAAATGCTAACAAGTAATGTTGCCAGAACGTTTAAAATCCATTCCTTTTTTTATCTACTTGTTATTGTTACTAATTATGAGAGAGATTAGAGGGACGCTGTGTTTCGATAAAAGTCTTAAATCTACTAAATCAGAGAAAGACAGCAGAATTTGGTGCAATTAACTGCATTTGTACTTTTCTCGTCGTTAAAAAAATATATAATTTGATTAATTAAAAAACGAACTAATCTTCTTGTTAACGTCAAAAATGTTAAAATTAAATATCAAAATTTATTTTATCAATTCGAGATAAAGATACATTGCAAAATATTTTTATTTCATCATTTCAGAAAATTAATTTTTACAATTTGAAATCTCAAGAACGTAAGAATATGTTTAAAATATTCTTCAAATGAAAAAGCTAAATTAAACTTTCAATTTTTTAATTATAAGGTTTCATCGACTTACGGTCGATTTTTAGTTATGATTTACAGATAATAGAAATTGCATTTAAAATACAAAAATTAAGTCTATTGTATGATGTATAATTATTGTACGTAATATGACAAATGCATAATATGTACTCTATATTAAATTCTGTAAACAAATTTGCAGTCTAATATTCACAATGTTATTATTACTATTAAGCTATGTCTGTTTGCTATTTATATTAATTTGTTGGCAGTCTTATAAATGTAAATAGTAATAATTGGCGTAAGTCTCAAGCTGAAGAGAAGGTGTATTCCATTTCGGTCACTTCAGTGTATCATAAGTATGTGAAGTTTTGTTTTTATTAACGTCGCACTAGAAGCAACATGAGGGCTATTGGCGACAGACCTCGTATTTTTGAACCACGGTCAAGTGACGAGGACGACACCTGAGCTGGCACCCCCCTCTCCTAACATCCACACCACGCCAATGGGAAGACTTTGGGCCCCGACAGATTTAACGTGCATCAGCCCCGGCTACACGGGTCTTTGGCGGCCAAGGATCGAACCCGCGACTGAACGAAAACCGCCGGCCACGAATCCGAAACCATGACCACTAGGCTACCGCGGCTACCATAAGTATTTGAAAGCAAAATAATTGTTTCTCTAGTAAAGAGCATTGTCGAAAATCTAAATATGAATTTAAATTTTCCTATTTATTAAATTTTGATTCATTGAGAAAAAAATCTCTTATACTGTTAATTAATCTTTAAAAATATTAATTCACATAGATGTAATGTATTTTTATTTAAGTGCTCGTCTTCCAACTTTGTCGGAGGCTATGGTAGCTTAGTGGTCATAGCTGCGAACTCGCATCCGACTCTGTTTTCGTCGAGTCGTGGGTTCTTGCCCTGATGCGTCCTAAAGACCCACAGCGTAGCGTGACTGATACACATTAAATCTGTCGAGGTGTCAAGTCCCCCCATTATCGTGATATGGAAGTTAGGAGAGGGTGGTGCAAGCTCAGGTGTCGTCCTCGTCACTTGACCGAGGCTTAAATTACGAGGTCCGTCGCCAGTATTCCTCATGTTGCTTCTTTCTAAGTGTTTGACGCAAAAAATAATTCATGAATTGAAGGCTTTGCCAGCGAATTACATATCTGAAATGTTAACAATCTTCTTTGTTTATAATACTATGATTATCGTTATTATTAAATTGTGGTTTTCAAAATATGTTAGGAAGCATTTTAAAATTCTTTTTTCTCTGTGAAAACTGTTATAATGATTCAGATGCAGATTGTTAAGTAATGTTTTATGATATTAAAGTTTTTGTGCGTTTTATACGAATGAATTGCAGAAATCTTTTTTGTTTTCGTCCTTTATTCTACATACTGCATGTTCGCTTGAAGAAACTTGAAGTGTGGCTGTTTTTTTAGGTAGTCCATATATATGTATATGTATATATATAACAACTCTCTTTCTCTTCTACTCTCTATATATATATATATCTTCTTATGTATATATATATATATATATATATATATATCTGGTATTTTAATGCATTAATGATTCGATCCTGCAAAAAGTCTTATGAATCTTTTGACTGCTGATGGAATGAATTTTTCGTGAAATTCTATTTTCTGATTATTATTATAGCAAAAATATTTTAGTTGAGGTTAATATTGTATTGCAACTTAAAACATAATGGCTTGAAACAGTGACGAATATTCCAAACTTCGATTGATTCTAATTTATGAAAGTATAAAATTTCGTCTGTAATCTGATCCGGATCAAAATGTCTTTTGCATATTTATCTGTCGGATATTTTGCGTATTATTTATCATTGCGGATATTTACCTCGACGGTAGCAATGCCTTGGCCGTGGACTCGTGCCCTTTATCAGTTTGTGTCAGAGTTTAAAAGAGGTTGCGCCATCGGATTGAAAAAGGTGGTTATGGCAAATCAAAGATTGGGTGAACTACGACAGCATAAGAGCGGTTGTGTTCTTCCCTAGGATCACAAAGAACGGCGAGACAAAATGATTGCCAAATTTGCGGTGTCAACATCTTATTCATCTCTGTTAACCATTCGACGTTCTCTGGTTACCAACAGGTTCATTCATAAATGTCTAAGAGATCAAAATATACTCTGCTTACTTCTCGTGCCTGTACATCATCTAGTCTAATTACAGTGGTGCGAGCTCGAACAGCTTGGAACGGCGCTGGTTGGGGAGGAGTCTCCTTCCAAAATGTGTCCTGATAAGTAGTGCAAAAGTGTCTGGAGGCATCCAGGGTAGCTTAGGATTCCTATTATTGCACGCCACATAGGTCCACTATAGAACGTTATGTTTTAGAGCAGGCCTGTCCAACCCAAAAGGCGTTGCATGTCACTTTTGAAAAGCATTTCATTCCACCGGAGCGCATTGTGTGTGTGTTTCTCCTTTTTAAACTTGGCTCCTTTAATGCCAATTCAAATTTTCATGTTAAAAACTACTACTATATTCACTTCTCGTGTCACGGGAAGCGAATCATCCGCCCAAGCTCCATTACGGAAATTAAGAATTCTGCAAATTACGGAATTCTGCAAATTTTATTGAATTAAATGTATTTGTATGAAATTTAATTTAAAAAAATCTGCTGTTTCTACACAATGCTGGTGCTAAATTGTTATCGATCAAAAGCCACCAAGCAGTCAGTCTGTCCGAAACCATACACTTCTAGGTCAAATATATTAGGCTTGCTACAGAGAGATTGGCTGCTGCTATTCCGCATGATCTGCGCATTCTCTCTCCGCGTCTAGTGACACAGACGTAATGACCCCGAGGTACCTTACTTAATTTTTTCTTTCCTATTGGGTTTATTGTCTTTTGTAAACACGGGTGACGTGCAACCGGGTTACCCTAGCGATCTTTCTCTATTTTCGATCCTCCTTCTTGTCAAATTTTTTTTGTCTTTTCTTCAATTTCTTCACGTCTAGACCACAGTTAAATCTTGTTTGGCGCAGCATAGCTATATCTGGCTCTAGCGCCAGTAAACTTTACATTCACTCACCGCGTCTAGTGATGCACACCCTCTTTTGTAGATTTGCTGGTTTTGTATGCGTTATGTGTCGCTCATTTACGCGAGACGGCCCACCGTAACTTTATAATTGTTTCTGTACAGGAATGTAGAAAAAAATTTCTGACGATAGTTGAGTCAGTGTATTCCCGTAGTAATGGGATATCATAAGAACGACTCGTGGCTGAATGTTCTTTGGTACTTGTTTATGTACAGCAAAATTTTTAATTTTTGTTCAGACGATTTTGATTTCTATTTAGATGTGGCCCTGCAGCCGCACATTGACACTGAGTGGCCCACATGTGGCCTGCTGAGCGTGGGTTGGCCAGGCCTGTTCTAGGGTGACTTTTTCTTTAATAGCTTGATCCCTTGTCGAGTTTAGGTCACGTACATTACAGCCGTACCTTGATGCAACTCTGGGACTTCCATATGTTGCCGTTCTTTTTGTGCTCCCTCGGGCATATTTTTTATAATTTTTTTTCTTTAGGGGAAATCTTCATTAATTAAAATAACAATAATAATAAATTGAAATTGGGTTTGTTAATTTCATTTTAACTTGCTCTAACGTTTTTTTAAAATATTTATTTGGGTTATAAAAGGTTTTCACCTTCGGTAGTGAGCTCATTCGACGATAAATGTTTCGAATATTTTCTTTGGGGTAGCCATCTGCCCAAAATGAATATTAATTACAGTAAAGTGAGCGTACCTCCTGGCCCCAGATTCCAAGGAAGCAATTTCTATCAAAAAGAGGAAATATCTTCTTTAAATTCTCATTGCATTTTTATTTTCACAATCGAAACATTCGAAAGTACAAAAACGTTGTCAGTGTTAACATCAAAAAGAATGAAAAAGACGATTCTGTTATAAAAATCAACTATTAAATTATATATTAAAGTAAGAGCAAACGATATATTATTAAAGTAGACGAACATTAAAATAAAAGCAGACGATAAAATATTAAATATATGTTAGCATTGTAAATATACCTTTCGCAAACTAAATGTAATATGATGTCAATCTTTTGAACCTAATAACATTTATCTTTTTATTTTATGCCCGCGTATTTTTTGACGCCATTTCTCAAAAGTCAACATGTTAACACATGTTAATAATAATGATAATATGATCTAAAGCGATTTCCAATGTTATGCATTTTTAGTTATGCAGTAAAAGAAAACCGAAATGCTAAGCAGTAAAGGAAAACCGAAGTCCAGCAGAAAAATTAGCACATTAATAAATATGGTTTTGTATTGAAAGTTAATAGCAATGACTAAAATTCAATTACTCAAATTTCATCTTTATCCGATGTAACCCCCCTCCTCCCCCACACCATTACCGTATATCCTTAGCATTCATTCGGATGTGTCTGCTTGTATTTCTGAAAGTATATTTATCACTATTTAGAAATTGAAGTTTTAGAATACTGATGTTTCAGTTCGCGTATGTAATTCTTCAACACAATCATTCAATTTAAAGTACAGATTTCTTTTCCTCCTCCATTCTTTGTTGAAACATTGGAAGAAAACTAATAAATGTTTCTGGCAATTTACCTCTTTTTAATTATTTATTACTTATTGAATTCTTAGAATAATTATTTGAAATAAATAAAAATTAAGTTTGACTTTTGATCGTATTTCTTTCAGAAAAAATGTATTATAAACGAAGCGACTTATTTTAAAATTTAAATATTTTTTTCTTGAGATATAATTCCAAAATAATGACTAATTTCTTTAATTTAAATCTACAAATTACATAACTCTAAATTTCAGTTTTCATTTTGTTTCGAATATGCGCGTATCGTTTTTACAACTTCCTTCTTTCAGTGAATTTAATTTATGAAGGATTTTAAGTGTAAGAAACTTAGAAGATAGAAATTATATACTAAATCAGAATCACCGGAAAATTAATTTTAAAAATAAGATAATCGCGTTAATTTTCTGGATGAAATTCCTCCAGCATTAATATAAAAACAAAAATTAATCTTGTGTGTTAGTGACAGCTTAAAATTGCTGCTAAAGCTTGTATTAAAACTCTTCGGTATCTTATTTTCTAATTTAATATTAAAAAATTTAAGGAATCGGATTTTTAAAAAAATAAATTAAAGTTTTATGTGTGAAAAAAAATTGTCTCTGGATTTATAGGGTATATACTTAGTTTCGAAATTAAAAATTAATAATTAAAGGCATTTTTTTATTTATTTTTTTTAAAAAAAAAAAAAATATTAATTACGCTGTCAATTGCGTGTTGGAAAGATTAAATTTGATTTAATGTAGTGGTAAAAAAAATCCCTGAGGGTTGTTTAATTAATAAAAATTCTTGAAAAATTAACTTTTTAATTAAAAGATACATTAAAAATAATTGTTATTAGAAGAGTTTTAAAAGAAATGGTTGAAAAAATGAACTTGGAAAATTAATTTAGCGTGATATTTCTTTCAGCTTTTAAATTTTATTTGTTTCGAACATGATATGGTTGATTAAAATGCTCACGAAGTAAAATAGATTGTTAACTTTTAGAATAATAATATATCGTATTTCAATTTAAATTACTTGTTTATGTTTTAAAAGAAAAATTGAGGAAGTAATATTTTACAGAACTTGTCAGAAAACATTTTGTTCGTGCGTTATCTATATGGTCGCTTTATGACAATGTGTGACGTTGGGCTATTCGCAATTTTCTTATCACTAACCTCGGAGACTTTATGATCATTTGAATTGCATAAAATTGCAATTTCTTCTAAACCAAAATGAACTGATTGGTTGATTGATTGGCTTTGTTAACGTCCCACTAAAACAACACGAAGGCTATTAGTGATGGACTTCATCATTTTTAGCCTTGATCAAGTGAACCCCTCTCCTAACTTCCACACCAATGGGAGGACTTCGAGCC